TGTGGCACCAAGTGAGAGAGAGTTCCCCGAGGACCACACAAACCTAGCAATTGTGGTCTTATGGGTGCTTCTAGTTAAAATTTTTTAGATGTAGAAGAAGAAATGCAGTTTTCTGCAGAAAGCATGTCCAAGGTCAATGTGGGAGAAGAAACAAAAATAAAATGATACTGTGGACCTATAATTTAGTGAAATAAAATATCAAATATGGTCACCTACAGCACAAATAATTATTTCAAATGTACACATTTAGGCTCTTTCTAGGTGAAAAGCAACTAAATATGGACCAACATTGAAATATGTCAGTGAAATGTAAGCAGTTTTTCAAAAGCAGGTCATACAATTAGCAAGGCCAAGTCAGTCATTTTCCACCTGCCAGAGTTTTCAAGACCATCTTTCAAGCTGCTCAGTTTTCTTGCTGTGTTTAGAGCTTTTCTGAAGAAAACATATTCATGGCTTGTGGATATGGTGTATGGGACAGTGTCATCTAAGTTCTTTGAAAAGGAAGTTGTTCCCTTTGTTTATATATCAAAAAAAAAAAAAAAAAAAAAAAAAATTTAAACCCAGCTCTGAGTTTTACCAAGCAATATACAGTAGATCCTTGACTTATGCCCGGCCTGACATACGAACAACTTGGGTTATGACTGGAATTTTAGTTTTAACTTACAAAGAAAGTCTTGAGTTATGACCAGAATGCTGGCCTCTTATGCTTCCAAATAGTCTCAGATACAGATTTAACCGTTAAAGAGTTCTAGAAAGAATATTACAACCTCTTTTCCTGTGTGAGATTAACCGAGAAATCCTGGGCCAATGTCTCTCAAAGGACATTGAAATCTGCCTGTAACAGGAGAGAGACTTTGAAGGCTGTGCAGAGGAGCCTGAGCCTTCATTGACCAACTTGAGTTACAACCAGTCCTCATGAATGAATTGAGTTCATAAGTCAAGGGTCCAGTGTACTAGAACATTCTTCTGATCTAGTGTAAATCTTCTTGCTGTAATGTAAGAACTGAGTTAAGTTACAGGGCCAACCGTTATATCATTTTTTCACATGTAGTGAAAACACTGGAATTTATGTTTTGTGATGGTCCAGATCCTGCTTTGCTTCTTGTGTTATCTCCACAGCCCCAAATTGTGTGGTACCTAAAAGGGGAGCAGCAAGTGTCCAGTGAATGAATAGATGAATTATCTTTTGCAGGATAACAATATTTGTTGAAGCCATCAGATTTTATTCCTCCTCCTCTCCGAAAGAAATTTGTCTTGCTTTTCCACGTGTGAGCCTTTGCTCAAAGAAGGCAGGCTTTACAAGACAAATTCCTTAAGATAGTCGTCATGAGATGTAAAAATTGAGATATCTAGGGAATATGTATATCCTCCAGAGGTGGAAGATATTTTTATCATACACCAGATCCTGAATTCAATCCTCAGCACCAAAAGTGCAATGACAAAATAAAATAAAATACATGCTAGGAAGTCAATGGAGTAGAAACAATCTTTTAGCAAATAGGACTGAGACAGTTAGATAAGACAATTAGTTACCTGCACTCAGGAGAATGCAGTTGAACCTCCTCCCACACCACACCTAAAAGCCTACTCAAACTGTCTATAGGCTTACCTTCAAGAGCTGAAGATATGTAATTCTTGGAAAAAAAGTAGGATAAATCCTTGTTTCTTTGGGTTACTCAAAGATTTCATAGACATGACATTAAAAGCACAAAGAAATGAATAAAATTGGTAAACTGGGTTTCACCAACATTAAAAATATGAATACTTCAACAGATATCATTAAAAAAGTGAAAAGACAACAGAATCAGAAGATATATTTACAAATATTATATCTGATATGGTACATTTTTCTAGGATACAGGAATAATTTGTTGCACTCAAAATAATCCAATTAAAAAGTGGCAAATGGTCTTACCAAAGAAGTTATTCAGCCAAAAAGCACTCAAAAATGCTCAGCATTTTCAGTTATTGAAGCAAATCAAAATCACAATGAGCTGCTATTTCACATCCGTTGGATGGTTGTAGTAGAAATAACTATAATAAATGTTGTGGATATAAGTGCTGGTGAGCATGTGGAGAAATTAGAAATGTATATACTCCTGTTAGGGTTGAAAATGGTGCAGCCACTTTGAAAACAGTTTGGCAATTTCTAGGAACAGTTGCCAATGATCCAGCAATTCTATTCCTAGGTATAGACCCATGAGAAATGAAAATATATACCCATACAAAAACTTATGACTCTTTACAGCAGCATTATTCATAACAGTAAAAAATGTAGAACAACCAAAATATAACAAGTAATACATAGATAAGCAAGGTATAATCCTTCAGCGGACTATAACTAAGCAATAAAATGGAAAGAAGTATCAAGATGTACTACAAATATTAGATGAACCTAAAATAGTGTGTAAAGTCAAGCTGGTGACAAAAACCACAGATTGTATGAGTCTATTGACTTTAATAGGAGTATCGATGTTCAGAACAAGCATAACTAATAGGTAGAAAACAGCAGTTGTCTAGGCCTGGAGGTGACCGGGAAATGGCGAGCTACTGCCCTGGGCTTTTTTTCAGGGTGATGAAAATGTCCTGAAATTGACTGTGGTGATGGTTCCATAAATATGTGAATAAGCAAAGCTCCACTGACTTTCATACTTTAAAAGAGTGGACTTCATGGTATGCAAACTCTATTGCGACACAGCTATTATTTAAAGAAAAGATCTCTGAGGGGTTGGCAGGAAAGGTAGTAGGTGTCTGTATTACAGCATACAGACTGTTCCACACAGGACTTTCGTCACAGTTGGAGGAATAAGATTCATGCACATGCCTAGGTTATCTGGGTTTGAATCCTGACATAATCTCTTATTCAGTCATGGGATCTTGGAAAAATGACTTAATCTGTGACCTAGACTCCTCATTCATAAAATGGTGATAATCATGATGTTATGTAACATGTTTACTGTGATGATTAAATGTAAAATTTAGGGCTTGATATATAATAAATCACCTCAATTAGAAAGGCTCTGGGCTGGAAACTGCACAGAATGTTCAATGTTCTTGGGTTAGCAAAAAGGCTAGCAAAGCAAGATTCCCAGTTGGGACTAATTAGTGGACTGCGGATTTAGAGGCACCAAGTCTCTTGCTAGGAAAGTTCAATTAGCAGTAGAAGGATCCATACTAAGACTCCGGTCCTTTACCCTGGCTAATTTATTTTGAAATATCATATTTTGACCCAAAAAATCTTTCAATAGCCATTTCTAACATTACAAGTAGGATTTCTAGTCTTCAAAACTGAAGCAAAATTTTCAGATTAAAAAACAATATTTGGCTGAGGCTTTAGCTCAGCAATTCCACTGCCTGCCTTGCATGTGCAAGGAACCAAGTTTGATTCCTGATACCAGAAAAAAAAAATATTGGCTGAATTTAGTAATCAATATAGCTGTCAAGTTGGCAGATGTGTGATTGCATTTTTATATAACTATAGAAGAGACTGATTCAGTTTAACAAATCATGACTGGGAACTGGTCAGATTATTGTCTCTTATTGGATGTTTTGCAGGATTTCTAGTCATTTAGGGATCATTTTAAGGCAGTTTTCTAATTTGGCCTTGGTTCTGTTACTTGTTCAATTGTTTACACTATAACTCAGGCTGGAAGCCAATAGTCAAAGACAGAATTATTTGTATGTGAGGCTGAGGGTGTAGCTCATTGGTAGAGCACTTTCCCAGCACAGGCCAAGCCTTAGATTTCATCACCATCCCCAGCATGGCAGGAAGGAAGGAAGGATGGAAGGGAAGGCCAGTGTGCACCTTCCTTTCTCCTCTATCATCATAAGGAGAGAAACTAGGGAAAAAAGAATTACAATAAGGCTTCTAAAGAAATGGTAAGATAAAGAAAATGTAGGTCTGTTCTAGAGTGAGATGGTAGAAAGAGCATTCACTTGACATTCGACACAGGGAATGCCTACAGTGTGGGAATTTTCTGAATAGGCCCCACACCCCTCTTTCCAGAACCCTGTATCCTTTAGGTCTACTTGGAAAATTTCAGATGATGTTAAGGTATCTTATAAACTGCATACCGCTATGTTTAATTATCTGATTTTTTTAAAAAAAAATAAGCATTTTGTGTCTTGAATGTGTTAAAGAAAATCACACACACACTTCCAACTGAGAATGAGAATGGTGTAAATAGGACATCAAACCGTGACAGTTAACAGCCACTGAGCAACTTTTGAGTAAAAGATTCTATCTCTGTGTTTTCTGTTCAAATTAAGGTCTAGAGGGTTGAGTTGCTGGTTGAGGGTGGACTGGTTGATGTTCATTCCACCACTGAGATAAGAAGGCTTCTCTTGAAACTTCTTTGAAGTTGGAGTTTTTGTTTCAGTGAGAATAGAGTGGTGCTGTGACCTCTTAAGAAAGTACTTTAAGATTGGAAGGCCAGCTGATTGTAATGCTAAGTCTTATTGGGGCTATTAATAAGGCCTTTGAATAATGGAGAGAGATATCTAGACCTATTCCTTTCTTCCTCTGGGCATCATTTAGCTATTAGATTGCTTTATTATAAATTTTGTTTCCAGTGTCTCTGTAAAGAAAGATAAAAGGAAATAAAAACCATAAAATCTTTATAGCATGAGAAGAGTTTACTAAGAGTAAATCAAGCTTAATATCTAGTTCAATAGGGAAGGAAGGAGGGGGTGGAGGGAGGTCAGGGGAATGGGGAAAAAATAAGAATCAAGGTATGTCATGTAAAGGTACCAAGACCCCAATGATGAATGTAACTATTGTATACCTAAAATGTATCAGTAAAAATATATTTTAAAATATCTAGTTCAAAAAGGTGATTCTCAAAGTGTTATCCTTGGATAGAATTGTCACAATCAGCTGGGAACTCATCAGAAAGGCAAATTCTCAGACCCTACCCCAACCCACCATTCAGAAATTCTGGATAGGACCCAGCAACCTATCTTTTTGTCTTCCCTCTGGAGGATTCTGCTGTGTGCTACAGTTTGAGAATCATGGCCCTGATGTTGCTGCACATACCAAGTGGGAAGCTTTCATTGACTTGCTTGGAGACAGGAAAGGGCATACTTTTCCAAGAGAGTGTAACTCTTGGGAAGTACTAGGTCTGCAGAGTAGTATCTCAGGTAACACCCATGAGTAGGGAGGTCCCTTCACTTGTGGTCCAAAGCACCTCACTGGATTTCATACCTTGACAGCCTTCTATTTTGGGGAAGGCAGCACCAATACCTGACCGTGGGTATGGTAAGGGACAGACTGAGGCCCAGGTACACAGAGAACCTGGAGTTTGCCTTTCGTGGCATCTTCCTACCCATTAGCAGCTTTAGAGCGAGAATTCTAGTCTCGCTTCTACCAGACCCTTATCTATCTGTAAGAATTTTGGGAAACTTCATTCCTTGGAGCCTTGATTTCTTCATCTTTGGAACTAATATCTTTTGCAAATTATTGTGCAGTTATGTGCTTCGCATAAGTAGGTACTCAGTGAATGCTGTTCCCTTGCTCACTGGGTACCAAGGGCAGCTGCTTAGTTCACAGTGATCTGTCATTCTGATGGGGGAGTAGCATTGCTAGAGTCTGGATCTTGAATGTCCCTCAGAGGCCCATGTTTTGAAGGTTTGGTTGCTATTGTGCTGCTGGGAGGTGGTGGACCCTGGCCCTCAGCTTTCTGGTTCCCACGAGGTGAGCTGTCCACCTCTGCTACAAGCTTCTGCCATGATGTTCTATGTTGCCGCACACCCAGAGCAACAGGGCTAAGCAACCATGGACTGAAACTCATGAAACTGTGAGCCTTTTTAAAGTCCATTATCTCGGGTAATTTGTCACGGAGATGGAAGCTAACAGGTCCACACTGCGACCATAGTTATTTACATGTGAGCCTTGCTTATAGAAATGTAAGCTCATTTACCCATTTTATTTTTAATTGACAAGTACTAATTGTATATTATTAATACAGCACTTGTGGGGGTTCTGGGGATTGAATCTAGGGCCTTGTGCTTGGTAAACAAGTGCTATACCAGAGAGCTACCCCTCAGCCCCAGTACTTTCTCTTATAAGATAGATGTAAGTAGTTTTGTAAACACAAACCTAGAGTAAGTTTAAAGTTTATTTAGACAGATGAAGAAATGTTAAATTACTTAACATTGTTTAAGTTATTGACAAAATAAGATGTTGCAATTGGAGGGAACTGGTCAGATTTAAATTTTGGTAATACAGTACTGTTGTAATAACTAGCACGATCTTTTTTTTTTATATCACCACAGGAGCCAGGGGCCATGGGACTATGACTCAGTCCAGGAAGGTTCATTGTCCCAAGTGAACCACGGTACACTTCCTTAGCAACTGTTGAGCCCAGATTTGATCCATAGCAATTTATTATTATTGTTGTTGCTGATAGTAGTAGTAGTTTCCCAATTCTGGGAATCAAACTCAGGGTAATTTGGTTTTTTGAAACAAGGCTGTGCTATGTAGTTCAGCCTGGCCCCGAACACACTATGTAGCCCAGGCTGGCCTCAAACTCACAGTGATCTTCCTGCCTCTGCTGGGATTACAGTTGTGTATAGCGATTTTTCAAATAACTGTTTCAGAAGAAAGAGAAGATGGATTCTTTTCTTTCAAAAACTGTACATGCTATTTGGGAAGGCACAGCACACCCAGATGGAATCTTAAAAGAAATATTTTGAAGTAATAAATTGGGAGGCTCTAACAATTTGTAAAACATGACCGATGTTCTGTGGAAATAACTAGAAAAATGAACAGAAGCAGATAGGGTACACAAAAAGGCTTCCTGAAGGCAGTGGTATCATTTATTTATTTAGTGACTTAGTTACCGGGGATCTAACACAGGACCTTACACCTACAAGGCAGGCAGTGAAGCCACTGAGCTAAATCCCTGGCCCAATTTTGGGTTTTGATAAAGACAAAATATGGATTAAAGAAAAGTTGTGAAAAGATGTGTTAGACAAAGGGGATAGCTGATGTGTTGGGGGATAGATTTTATTTCGTGTAGTTACAGAAATTTAAATAAGGGCTCATTTCTTCTTGCACCATAAAGTTTAAGAGGAACAGGAAAGTACATTTAGCAGTCTATCCCTTAACTTCTTCCTTTCCATTTTTTACAGATTCCTATTATATCTTCTTAAACTAGACCAGGACTCCAAATATATTACATTATTGACTTTTTTCTCTCTCACATTTTATGTGATCAGTCATTTTTCATCTGGTTAGTTTATCTAATGTTTGGTTTTGTTTTCTTCTGTGACACCGCAGAGCTGTAGACCAGACAGAGTTTAAAGGTTAGTTAAATGACTCCCTAGGGTTGCTTTTCTTCTAAGTGGACAAAAAGCTTCCTTCCCCAATTGCTGCAGCCACACACTGCTGTTAAGGTCACATTAGAGAGAAAGATTCCATTAACTAAAGTTAGAGCTGACATTGTAAAAGTGCTGTTGAGCAGGGCTGGGCCTCGAACCCCCTACCGTCGTGAATCCTGGTTTTGGTTTCCGGAGAGCAAGGAACAGCTGGTTTAAAGGAGAGACCGATTTCAGCGATCAGGAGCAAAGGTGACTTCCTGTTTTGTTTCCTTCTTTCCCAGGGAAGGCTGAGTCTTCTGCGTTCCGCAGTCCTTAGCTCTTCGATCTCCCCCCACCCCGCCCCCCAGGGCACGGAGCGGACGCGGCTCACCTGTGTGCAAAGTGGTGAAGGGGAAGGGGCTGGGGGAGAGGGTCTGTTTTCTGTTTTCTCTTCGGGATTGAGCTCATCTAGGTGGACAAGATTTTTATTTTGTTTGCTTATTTTTTGGTAGCGGGGATCGAACTCGGGACCTTGCGCTTGTGAGGCAGGCGGTGGAATCACTGAGCTAAATCCCCGGCCCCGGTGGGAAAGGTTTTAACGTTTTCCTCCTCATCATTACTTCTGTGGGGTAGTTTTCCTACCCTTGTCTTTCAAGTGTTAGAGGAAATAGGTGAGACGGGATAACTAATAAATGCATTTTATTTCAGTAAGCAAACTCAACAAGCAAAGAACCCAAGCGCTTTGAAGGGTTCATTTCCGCTTTTAAACTTAGGAGGCAGAGCTCAGGAGATCTAATTCTACAGGGCAAAGGACAAAAAATTTCAAGGAAACTAAAACCCAAAATCAGAGCACATTGTTTGGTGCCGGTGTCCCGCGTGGAGCCGCAGTCTGGGAGCGGGCGCTCCGGCTCGGCGCAGGGCCAGGGGCCGGGGGTCTCCGAGAGCGGAGCCGAGGGGGAGCGAGC